AGGTTGTGGCAGGCTTGTCCAAAAAAACAGGTATCTGAAAATGAAACATGATGAATGAAATTAAATTTTTCTAAGTTGCATATTTTACCTTACTTATCATATTAAAGCTACTATCATTGCCTGGTTTATGGTAAGCTACAATAAAACAACATGTCATTGTTTCAGTTAACACAAATACATGCAAATGCACTTGTCCTGCTATAGTGTATCTTGCGATGAACCAATACTTCAGCATCGCCAGCAAGATTTGAGTACTTCGATACACCTTTCCACAGTATTCCGAGGCCGACAATGTTTTTGGGCGTAGTGCCGTTGTTGAGTGTCTGGCTCGGTATTAATGACTAGTATTAAGTACACAAATAAGCTAGTAACAAATAATTATATTTACCTTTTAACGTGTATTATTTCTTAATAGATAAAATCCATAGCGTTCAATCTTCGCCTTGGTAAGGGAGGAGCCCTTTTCTGTATCAATTTACTTCTCGAATTCCATTCACATCTCGAACTCTATTTACTGTTACTTACTTCCCAATGAAATAATGTCTAAGTTAAAGAGTTTAATATTTTTTTACAAATTTGTTTGTTTAAATGAAGTTTAAATTTACTGTTATTCTGACAGTGACTGACTGACGTGACGTATGAGCACGAGTCATTGCCAGCAAAAAGGAAATAAGAAAAACAAAATCAAATACTGTATGTAGTTTTCACACTGTATTTTAATGGATTTTCTAGTTTCTTGATAGATATGAGAAAATATTATAATTAAAAAACATTCAGGATCGAAATTTTTAATTTAAGTTATAATAAAACACAAGATAAACAAAACCGGTAAAGTTACGGTTCGGTTTTTCTCTATAATATATTTCTTATGTAGCAACATCGGCATCTAATATGATTCAGTTATGAAATGAATTGAAGGTGTTTCATATTTTATTGTTACCATTTTATGGTGATTTAGGTGATTCTCTAACAATTCATCAAATCTGTCATATTAGAAATGATTCACCTAATGTTACCTTTTTAGGCCCCCAGAAAGCCGCCATGTTGTAAAGATAAGTGATTTAATTATAACTTTTTACACATAATATTTGTACACATTATGTGCCTACTTTCATTATTTTTCTTGTTTTCTTGATAAAGCTATCGGTATTGTTAGTATTTATTTCAAGTGCTCGCGTAATGTACCGTAATTCAAGACTGAATGTGAATTACAAACTGGTTGTATTACTATAGAGATTACATTATATTGCCATAAAAAGCTACTTAATTGAATTCTGGCAACGCAAGCTTTACATTTTATTGTATACTACTTTTACACCAATACTTCGTAAGTAATATAGTATAATGATATGTATTATAGCTTTTTAATTCGAACATTTACAGTGTTTGTCTTGTTTTTAAAAACGTCACTCGGTTCGGTGTGTCTTTTGACATAGGCCTCGTCCAACTGCTTCCATTGCACTCTGTCTATTACTACTCCGGTCCAGAAAGGTCCCAGGGTTCCGCGATAGTTGTCTTCCCATCGTCTTGTTAGACGCCATTACAGTTGGTCCGTTCGGAAACTATAGTCATATAGTACTTACACATCTACATCCTACTATTCTATCCTACTTCCTACTATCCTTCTAATATTATAGATGCCAAAGTTTGTGAGCATTTATGCGTGTGTGTGTGTGTTTGAAAAATAAATTCCGTAACCGTTTTTGACATAGTACTTTGCAAAGAAAAAGGAGGCACACAATGATGGGGGAAAAAAGGAGCATAATTATAACTACAAAATGAACCGTTGTGTAATAGAACAAAAATTACAAATAATGCTTAGAAATCGCATTCAGGCTCACAACAAACCAACGAGTCGTTAATAGCCATAACGCAAAACATAATAACAATAATTACAATTCACAATTTTTTGACAATACATCATTATAATAACAATAATTATTATCATTATACCAAGCCCGAACTTCAACAATCAAGGTCAGCATGAATGGCTGTCAGTTAGCGTCGCTTGATGCGCAAGCGCAGGTCCCACGGCGCACGATCGTTCATCCCCTTCAACCTTGACGATTGGGTTCAGATGACGGGCTTACACGTGGCAAGCTTAAAGGTACGTTCCATAAGCACCTTGGGCCGTCAAAAACTTGCTGATTCGTTTATGTTTTTCCTAAGAAGTTTATGTACACAAGATATTAACTTCTTAGGAAAAATGTAACCAAATAATTTTATTTTTTTAATGGTTACATCTATTTTCCTATCAGCTACATTTGTTATCGTGTGTTTTATCTTGAATGGATGAAGGATCTCCGTGCAATTAGTGGTAATTAGTCATAATTCTATATTGTGTCATTCCCTTGCCTTAATCCATTGTCTGTTAGGTACACATTCTTAACATATATCGAAGGTTCAGTTATTTATTTGTTTTCTTTCAAATTGAGAATGAATCTGCCAATTCATATCTAATGGTGTTTAATGATGATACACAACCTATAGGTAAATCAGGCAGTTATTAGTCCAACGATTTTTCTAGATTTCCGAATGAATTTATTATTAGTTGCCTACTTCAATGAAGCAAGTTAATTGTTGCAAATCAATTAGAAAAAACCAGTTAAATAATAATAAATGGTTAAGTACTATGCAATTTACTTTAATTTATTTACTTAGATAATAGAACATAATTTGGTTACTACCTGCATAGTACTACGCAGTTTAGAAGATGTTAATTTTGTTAAAAATTTAGAATTCAATGAATTAAAGAAAAACAACATTCGTACAATATTTGTTACAAAGGAGACACATGTTTCTCAGTCGGCTGACATGTTCACTGAAACCAAAACACGATCTAAATAAGCGTGACTGAATGTAATACAAATATTATCTCACTGCCTACTTATTATATCAGTTAGAGCAATTAAACTCCACCTTAAAACCTTGAACTTGTTGCTTAAGGTCATGCGCCACGTGATTATAGAAACCATTCAATAGGAACCCTTCCGACCTTAGAATTTATTTAAAATTACGAGGTCAAAAGCATAAAGGGACAACCAGTTTTATCAAAATAGGCATTATATAACCTACAGAATATTTTATGTGCACATAAAAGCTTGGAGTCACACCCCTATTGGGTCTTAAGTTAACTTACATAAATACTAATATTGAATGCAGATATGCACAATGGTCCTCAGTTATGCAAATCTCAGTTATACAATCCATTCAGTGCGAATTTGAATAGGGAACGTTAAATGCTTTTTTTTTTATTATTTTTCAGATAAGGGTCTTTTGAATTGGAAAGTAACGACCCCAACTGGACTAAACCAGGGTTATTTAAGCGAGTTAGTTCTTTCTTTGTAGTGTGAATAATACCAACAGACATAATATGTATGTAGTACTGTAAAAAATCCTTTTGAAAGTATTGAATTGAGAGAATTTTCTGAGCTTGAAACCAGTCAGGTAAACCCGAAATCAATGCAACAGCTGTCACAAAATTACTCAACTATGTGATTCCTTTCGTAACCTGGAATTGATGCAACAAGTGCGACTGCCGGGCAAGGGGTCTCGGGATCAATTTCCGGGCCGGTCAAAGTATTACTGGGGTTTTTAAAAAATTCTCAGTAGTAGCACAGCGCTTGCTATTACGCCCGATAGGCTCACACCAATTACATGGGTCTTATAACATAAATTAGTGAAAAGTGTTTGTTATATTGTAATTATAGTGGCTTATGTGCCATAATGTGCACCCCTCACCCCTTCAGGGTTAAAATTGTGACATTTATTTATTTTATTTCATATTATAGTAACTAGTATTCACATAGCACAGATAGACAACTAAAATCAGCACAAACTATTGTTTTATAAATATTATTTTTAATTGATATTTAATTGTAAACCTACTTATACAGGGTTACAGGTTAGGTCGACCTAAATCCTTTGAGAGGTGGTATTTGCTATCATTTCTGACTGATTTGACTATGGAACCCCCTATCCCAAACTTAATCGTTCTCAAGTTATGGGACTTTGAAGATTTTTTATAAAAAATCCAGATTTTTTGTCTATTGTCCCCTTTTTTGTGTTTTGTACCTCTAATTTTTTAGTTTTTGTATTTTTTGTGTAGCAGATTAGTTGCTCCATTATTTTAAACACAAAAACTGCAATTAACTGTGCCAACTGAATCGTATTAGAAGACTAATTGTTGAAAAAAAAATTCTGAAAATTTCTTTTTCTTTGTAAGATATTGAAAAAAAAGTCTATGACAGTTGTGCTGCAGATATGCTTAAAAATATCTACGCTTCTTCAGCTTTCCGATAAGGTATAATACAATATGGTATTATTGGATTTTTTTAATAAAAACATCGATGATATGCTACCAGGTAGTAGTAAAAAATAACGATACTTAAGCGTCAAATTTAACTTTAGTCAGAAAACAAAATAAAACAATCCAAATAGGAAACGAATAAGGTTTATTAATAATTTTTACAATACATGTTCCACATGTCCACCCCTATTTCGCGCACATACACGCATTCTGTGTCTTAAGCCACTTTTCACTACCCCAGTTGTTAGTCCTCTTCTTATTTCGTTAGCAGCATCAATAATTTTCTGCCTCAAAATATCAACAGATGTTATTGGGTTAGGTTCGTTGTAAACCAAACTTTTCATGTGCCCCCACACATAAAAATCCATGGGTGTACAAACTAAAAATAACTATTTACAATACGTAAAAACTCATAAACATTAATGTTTACGGGGCCCTGAGGGCTACTTCTACCTTGTATGGCAATGCTTAACCTCTTGTCTGAAAATCAGGCAAGATCAGGCCAGCTCTCTGATTATAGATAAGTTTTGGCTCCATATAGGAGTCGGGATCCATGTTAAGGCACTAATTGTAACATAGTAAAAATAATCTAAACAAATTGAACAGTTTTAAAGACAACATTCGTTACAAAATAATATACCTACTTAATTACGAATTTACATACATACAATAAAATAATATTACTGTCTTTGAACAATTAATATTACTCAACATTTTGTTGAAATAACAAATTAGAAGAAACAAAACATTATCATGCATTCATGACCGATCAAAGATTTATATGAGCACCAAAATAGCAGTATGATATATACAAATAACATTATTATTATATGTGTAGATAAACACATACACCAAGCGGTCACCGGTGACCGCAACCTATTGTTCTTTAATTGTGTCTACAAAACCGGTACTCGACGAGTTAATTATCTGTGGGGTTGGTTTAAAAGATCAATGAAAATAGATTTTCATTAAGACCACCTGGCGGCTGAAAATAGATTAACGGGTATTCGATTCAGAGAGATCGAATTTTATAAGATATTGTCGATTATTTACGTGGAATAGACAAGCCATAAAAAATTTGCGAGATTCGCGAGAGGAGAAAGAAAAGAGAAGATTAAGAGAAGTCGTCGCACCTGGTGAGAACAATAACATCCAAACATAGTACCAAGAGGTACTATGTAGAGGTAGAGCGAGAACATTTTAAGCCTGATGGATTTATCCGAGATAAAAAACTTACCATCACGGACTTGTTCGTGCAATTCGGTATCGGACAGCGCATGTGTATTGGAAACCTCCTGTCAAGAATGGAACTACTCTTATTTTTCTCAAATTTAATGAATAATTAAGAATTCTGCATGTCCGAAGCTGAATATATTCCAGGTTTGTATGGAATTCTAGGTTCCACACATGCTCATTCATTACCTTTTAAATTAGGTCATTTATTTGCGAAACATATTCACAAAGTAATAATGCCAACTTATGATACACAGGGTATGAACGGGCCTTATATACATATTATATTATATATATTATATGGAGCTCGAACAGTTTAGGGCTGAAAGGTTTATTCGGGATGAAAAATTCGTAATCACAGACATATTCATGCAATTTGGCATAGGACAGCGCATGTGTATAAGAAACCTTCTGGCAAGAATGGAACTATTCTTATTATTCTCAAATTTAATGAATAATTAAGAATTCCGCATGCCCGAAGCTGAATACATTTTAGTTTTGGGTTTCACACATGCTTCACTACCTTTCAAATTAGCTCATTCATTTGCAAAACATATTCACAAAATAATAATGCCAACTATAGATACACAGATAATGACAAGGTTTTTAAATTATTTAAGCACCCAGAAGATGCGGAAAAAGTGCGATTAGACCTAAGAGAAGTCGACACACCGACCGCTTGTAACTTCCAATATTGAAGCGGCGCTCATTGAAATGACGAGAATCGTATCAATAGTACCATTGGGGATAACACATGAGTATAATTCCGTAAACAGATTAGTAAGTAGTTTTAGATTATCATTAATTCATGAAATGTCTAAAATCCAGAGATAAACAATTTATGCCAGAGAGGTTCATTCGTTTGAAGTAAAATATACATGGAATTAAGTACATTGAATTGAATCAAGGGACGTCCTCTCCGCAGGGATGGAGGCATCACTAACATCATTATTATGAGTCTATGTAATGATGATACTTTACAGACTTGCAATCTAAGTACACGTTTTTTATTTATAAATAAATAAAATATAAATGCTCCAAATGCTTCAAATGTTTAGTGCCAGACTACAATAATTATTTTATTAGTGAAACACACAAACACAAAGATGAAACAAGTGAGAAACTGTTTGGAATTAGACTAGAACTAGAATATACTAATAGAACATGGTGACATCATTTTCAAAATTTTAGAATTAAACCTTGAAACCTTTACCACCACGGACATGTCCATGCCATTCGGTATCGGACAGCGCATGTGTATTGGAAACCTTCTGGCCAACGAATTGAACTATTCTTATTTTTCTCAAATTAAATGAATAATTAAGAATTCTGCATGTCCGAAGCTGAATATATTCCAGGTTTGTATGGAATTCTAGCTTCCACACATGCTCATTCATTACCTTTTAAATTAGGTCATTTATTTGCGAAACATATTCACAAAGTAATAATGCCAACTTATGATACACAGGGCATGAACGGGCCTTATATACATATTATATTATATATATTATATGGAGCTTGAACAGTTTAGGGCTGAAAGGTTTATTCGGGATGAAAAATTCGTGATCACAGACATATTCATGCAATTTGGCATAGGACAGCGCATGTGTATAAGAAACCTTCTGGCAAGAATGGAACTATTCTTATTATTCTCAAATTTAATGAATAATTAAGAATTCTGCATGTCCGAAGCTGAATATATTCCAGGTTTGTATGGAATTCTAGCTTCCACACATGCTCATTCATTACCTTTTAAATTAGGTCATTTATTTGCGAAACATATTCACAAAGTAATAATGCCAACTTATGATACACAGGGCATGAACGGGCCTTATATACATATTATATTATATATATTATATGGAGCTTGAACAGTTTAGGGCTGAAAGGTTTATTCGGGATGAAAAATTCGTGATCACAGACATATTCATGCAATTTGGCATAGGACAGCGCATGTGTATAAGAAACCTTCTGGCAAGAATGGAACTATTCTTATTATTCTCAAATTTAATGAATAATTAAGAATTCTGCATGCACCGATACACAGGGAATGATAGGGCTATTAAATTATTTAAGCACCCAGAAGTTACGGAAAAAGTGCGATTAGACATAAGAAAAGTCGGCTCACCGACCGCTTGCAACTTTCAATATTGAAGCAGTGCTCATAGAAATGACGAGAATCATATCAATAGTACCTACCAATGGGAATAACACATATCAAAACTGTATAATTCCTAATGTAACTTGAACAAATCAATAGTTATAGATTAGTATGAATTATTGGAATCTCTATTGCTTTCCTGAAATGAGCAAATTCCATAAAGAGGAACCCAGTCACGTAAGTTTAATTTTGTGATCTGTTCTCAGCAGGTATGGAGACATCACTAACATTATTATTGTGAAACTATGCAATGATGATGGCCCGATGACCCGGTGGTTGCAGAAAGAGTGTAAGTAGATCTAAGGGAAGACGAAAGTTTAAACATGATCAGAAAATATATCATGTTTTTGTTTTCGGCCATAACTAGTTTTCAGTTTCGAGGTGGTCCAACTTATTTACAGTGGTCTCCAAACTAAGTAGGTATTAAGTAACTAAGTATTAGTATGTAATACTTCTGTTTGTGGACGAATATTAATTTACAAACATTAATAAAACAAATAAATAAAATAAAACCTCACCACGCGATATCTGGCTAAAAGAAACAGCGAGCATAAGCTGCAAGTTCAAATTTTGAATGAGGAGATTCTGCAAACGAACGACATTGCTGTCTTATTCCAATTTTTGGTGGCGCATAGCACAGAGAACAAGGTCGATTGGGTATAAAGGTAAATGAATTCACATACTAAATTAAGAGCAGGATGTTCAACCACAGGTTCGACATAGGTACGATCTGATAAAGTTTACAAGAAGCCGCTGCATACAGTTTACTTTCAACCAACCGATCTGGAAATCATTCAGAAAACACTGTTCAGCAATGGATGTTGCTCCATGTTCAGGCGAAGTATCAATGATATTATTATTCCGTTTGCTGCTGGGACGACACATTTATCAGTATTCCATTCCCTGAAAAAAAAAAACATTTTTAGTACTTGATTTCAAAACGTTTAGTAGAGTAGCATATTACATAGTTAAAATTACAAAATTATGTGAAATGGAAACAATTTTCTGTTTAGATAAAATTATGGACCAAACTTTTGTGAAGCAAAACTATTTGCATTTTACCTAGTTAAATAGGTAGGAGCTTACACAATACTCACATCCATGGTTCGCAACGGCATTTCGGTGATTTCGATGACCATTGCTGTTGATGTGATGATGAACACCATGACAGGTCTATGACAACAAAATGATGTTATTGATGTCTCCATACCGGCTGAAAATAGATCACTGATGATCTGTAATGTTTGCGTGCTGAAAAAGGAATCAATGTATTATTTTCAACAAATTTTCAATGAGAATTGCTTTATAAAGGTTGTCTAGTTAAATAATTTAATGATAATTACCGGGTTCAATATCGTTTTCATAACCAGTCTTGTTAGTTTCAAGATATATTTATACACATTGTATCTATATAGGCCAAATCTATCTATCTCTATATTAATGAGCTAATTTGAAAGGTAGCAGCATGTATGAAATCTCCAAATTCCATGAAAGGTTCTGAAATTTTCTCACTATCAAAATCAATGAGAACTGCTTTATAGTAATAGTTGTTATAGTTAAATTACTTAATGATAATTATCGTGTAATATCAGGGAATAAATCATGCTACTCGTTTTTGGCCTGTAACTGTTTTTCAGCTTCTAGGTTTTCGAGATAGAAGTCCAGCAAGTTGGCTGGCTGGCGGAGCTCCGAAGACTGTTGTTGCTGAATCATTTATAATTGTTAATCAATGGATTTTTGTGGCAGTTCTGAAATAGAATTAACTTAATTGGTATATTATAATGTTTCAAAGGGGAGCATTTTGTTATATACTGGTTATCGTACATCCAATACTTTAGCAAATTGTTACAAATACTTCTAATCTCACTAAGTTACTTAATACTTATACATATTTTTTTTCCTATCAATTAGTTATTTCGTTTATCACGATTCGGTGTGATATTTTCTTTTCTTTTCTTTAAATAAAACCTAGATTTTTCAGAAACTCGACCGATAGTCTTTTCTGCTAATGAACTCTTACATTACCTACTTTGGTGAAACCGACGCGACGCATAAACGCATAGGTAGGTACTATAACCTACTTAGTCCGAGGTCTTGAAAACATCTAACTAAATACGAATTTTTATACCTGTATGATTATTACATATTATCGTTTTAAGTTCCAATTTTTAATTTTAATTTTTAATTTAATTTGCAGAAATAATATTAATCAATAGTAATTTGTCCCTTCCCTGATTAATGAACAAGAAAACATTAAACTACATAATTTAAATATTTACATTATAATATAAATAAAAAATAAATTCAAATAAATGGACTTTGACTTTTTAATATTATAACTACTTTTATACCTTTATACCTTTATATATGATAACACTAAATTTAAACTAATTTAATATTAGTTTAAATTTAGTATATTATAAATATAAATAACTAAAAACTAAAATATTTACACCTTAAAATTATATTAAAAAAGCTATGCTCCAAAAACGCATCAAAAAATTATCCTAATAATTGACATGAGGTAAGGAGCAAAAGGCTGGCAGCATTGCCACGTTGGATGACAAAGAAAATTAATATATTTTAGAATCGTGAAAATAACTGGGTAGTAGGACTAATAGGTAGATACGATAAAATTTAAATGAGGTAGGTAGAAGTAGCCGATTCCATAAATGAAGGTGTTTTATTTTTTAATTAAACTGTCAAACACCAAGTGGTCACCGGTGACCGCAACCTATTGTTCTATAATTGTGTCTATAATGACGGTACTCGACGAGTTAAACTGTCAAACACCAAGCGGTCACCGGTGACCGCAACCTATTGTTCTATAATTGTGTCTATAATGACGGTACTTGACGAGTTAAATAATAATTATTATTTAATGAATTTTAACGATTATACTTTATTGATATATAAGATTATATTATATACCTAATTATTTTTGTTAAAGTGGGTAAGAGTCCGCAAAACTAACCGTACGTTACGTAGGTATGGCTTTAAATGTACTTCCTACAAACGGAAAAGACTACTACTATATTCTACCTACTATATTCATCGAGCGATACGGTAGTTGACAGGTAGTCAACTACTTTTAAATACTTTTATTGAAATGTCAAAAACGATACTTTACTATGAATTTTTTATTGGATCGCAACTTATGACGTCATCATATTTCTGCGTCAAATACCATACATCCATCCATCTTTAAAATAAGCGAGAAAACCATCTAAAAGTAGGTAAATTATCAAATCAATGGATGATAGCATGATTATTTTTTAATTATTAATTGGATTGAAAAGATGAAACAATTTATTTTAAACTTAGGAAACTATCCAACTATACATACAGAGGTCCCAAATAAAAATAGATATCAATCTAAAAATTGATTTTAATCCAGACACTGGATTAGAGTGAGATATAAATTTTCGACGTTAATCAGAAAAAAAATTGAACATATAATTTTAGTTTAATAGCGACACAAAGAATAGTCCATCATAATAATATTAGAAACTTACCATAACTTAGACTGCTCACGACCAAATATTAAAATTAAATTATTAGATACCTATTAACTAAAAATGTTACACTTATACCTTACTTATTTACACAAAGCAAACGAGCAAATAATTTTGTGTCCAAAGGTTTTACTATTTATAAGGGAGAAAAATACATATCAGAAGGTATCTCAAAATTTTTTCGTTTAATATCATGGAGTATAAAGATTAGGAGTACTATGTTCATACACAAAAGTATCCAATAAGTAAAAACGATCAAAATTTATAACCGATCGTAATCTAAAATCTATGGCTCAATCAAAAAAACAAAAGCTCCATAAACCAAAAAAATCATTAAAATTATGTTTAAGTAAACCACTATTGCAAAAGGGTGAATCCAAAAGCGTATTTGTGCAATGTACGCGTATCTGAACGAACTTTGCTAATTATAGGGATATTAGGTAGTTGTTCTTTGTGTGGTCCTAAAATTGTAGGTTCGGACCTGGGTGTGATATGTACCAATTGTACTAATGGAAATGCCAACAACAGCGCCACCTAATTAAGCAGTTCGGTAGATATTTGTTAAGTTTCATTAGCGTGAACATGGCCCTCCATTCTTCCATACTCCATGTACTACATATATTGGATAATAAAAATACCCTCAACTTTGTTAAAATAAGAAAATTTTCCATCGACTTAAAACAGTCTAGTTAGTTTCTGGATACCTATAGCTTATATACGAATTCTATCTCTATGCAGGCCAAGTCAATCAATTTGGAGTCTACAATTAGAGCTCAGAGATTTGACGAGACCCATCAAGCATGATGTATGTCTCTCGATACCGACATTAAAAGATACCGGAAATACTAAGTCTGCCGGTAAATAATGTTAATATCTAGCTGTTTATATAATTCCGTCACGCGTTGTATTATAGTGACCTTCACAGTTGATTCTCCGACAATAGAGGTTGTTGACATATATAATACTGGCACATATTTTAGAACGTAAGCGACTTATCTGCGCCATTCGCGCGCTTTTTTAGGTATCTGGTCTACGTAATACAGGTCTTTGACCTCAATACGGGAACTTGGACTTTTTATGGGGTTATAACCTGATTCAAGGTTGGCATAGTGCACTTGTACACTTAGATATTTATATAATGTGCATCAGATGTGGGTACACTGCGTGTTCTAAGAATACCTGTAAATATCATAGTTCACGCGCTCGGGGAAGTTCAAGATCACGAGTAACCAGGCGCGTGACGTCATCACAATAATGCTGCAGGAGTTCTGATGGGAATTAATTAGGTCGATGATGTTAATAATGCGGAAACTGTACACTATTAGAATAAATAGACAATGTTACGTAACAAGGGCGTCTTGCGTAACTTATCATAGAACAGCCACTTATACGAGTTTATACTTGAAAAAGATCAATGCACCCACGTATTTATCATATAATTATAAATATTTACTAACTTAATAGTAGCACACCTCATTTATATGCACTCATAGTTTTATATGCGTAGTTAGGAACCAGTATACATATTCTGCTAAATAATTACAATTTCAAAATGAATATGAGTGTCCAATATACTAACTAAATATTTATAATTTGTTTTAAAGATGACAATACAGTGTGGGTCTTTATACAGTGCAACAATACATAATACATATATCAAAAAAGAAGAATATCAAAGAAAGAAAAATATAAAACTACACCTAACTACCTATGTAACTAAACTAAACCTTTATAAAATAAGTATTAAACTGTCAAACACCAAGCGGTCACCGGTGACCGCTTGGTGTTTAACAGTTTAAGTTATGTCGATTTGATTATAACTTAGGATGGGAATATCATAAGATTCGTAAAAAGAAATCTAAGTTTTTTATGTTATCGACATAAAAAAAATTAGTTGAAAATATTTACAGTTCGAAAAAAAAGGCAGTTTCTATCCACAGTTGAATAGATGGCGGTGCAATCGGTTACTGGATCAATCAGTAAAAAATATTGTAACAAAAAATAAAACTAAACATAAAATCAAACATCTGAACTATGTACCTGCTACTACTAAAACTGTAATAATTATTTCCGAATTATAATTATATTACTTTGGTCTTCAAAGTATGCAAAGTAAAAAAACATTGTAATTTCCAAAGACGTGGAAAAAAAGGCTGACATAGTCTCTTGAAACAACGAGTGTGGCACCTGGCTATTATAGAATTACACGCAAAATACACATACATTGACACAAAGGACATCTGTCGCGTGACATGGCCCGTTATTACACTTCATACATTGACATTTTAGTGCTTCAATCATTTCTTAGTGACATTATGTCCGCCATTTTTTAACGTCCTTGGTAATGTCTTTAATAATAAACGTTGTGCAAAACTTGATAAGGACTATCATTTCGGTGCTTAGTGAGCATGATGGCACTAAAATAGCCTAAAGTTCTGTTTGTCCAATCATCGTAACTGTTAAAAAATGATTGTCCAATGGTTTTACACTAGATATGTATAAGATTTTCTATTGGACAACAGATATTCCTCTGCGGAAATTTGATTACGTAGTAGTCTTTATCGGTTGGACGATTATTAGTGTCCACTATTGAATGTATGAATTCGGTTCCCAAGAAGCGCATGATTTTGTTAAAATAGTTCATCTGTATAAGGATAGTACTAATAAAATTAGGTTCATAAGGATTGGAAATCAAATCGATCGACTTTTCGAAGCATGCTACTTAACTTTTATTATTATATTCAAAAGGTAATTAATACGTAGGAAGAACTTCAACACCATTAAAACAAGAAATTAAAATAGCAAGCATTTATTTACTTGTAATCAAGGACAACAATGTATAAATTAAAACAAAAAGATCTTAAAAGTAATTAACCTTACATAATAACATTATAATGAACTCATATTTGATCACAAGTTAAAAACTTAAATAACTTAACTAAAATTTAATTCCTTTTTAAGGAACTTAATAATGTAAGCGTTTTCTAACTTAGATACAACTTGAGTACAATAGTACACACAACCCTTATAGACCTTGTTCACGATTGAACAATACTACTGCTAAAGATATTAACAATACAATTTCCTAGGAAGCAAAGCAGTGAAAGTTGTAAAGCCAGTGAATAATGATCTAATCTAACTTATAAATGATTTTGTAAAATCTAAGACTTACATCGTATAATATGCATGGAACATAGACGGTAAAATGTAAAGGCGGATGAAATTAAAATTATGAAGTTACATAGCTAATCCAAAAAATTTTGGTAACAATGGCAAAAATGCACAAAACAATCTTATTATAAAAACAAACAATATCTTAATCTAAAACATTCAATATTAATAATAAGGTACCAAAAGTAGCGCTTAAAAGGCGTAAACTTAAAAATTACAAAGTTAAAAATCAGTATTAATGATGCCTAAATAAGTAGAAACAAGCAAAGTCTTACTATTGAATACGTAAGAGATATGCTTCAGGTAACTATAGCGTGTTAGAATTTGAACTTAGGCCTCCAGTTTCTTAAAGACTAATTTAAATGGCAACGGCGCATGTGTGGCACCTAGAATTCCATCCAAACCTGGAATATCTTCTCCTTCTGGCATGCGGAATTCAAAATTATTCATAATATTAGAGAAAAAAAGAAACAGCTCCATTCTTGCCAGAAGGTTGCCTATGCACATGCGCTGTCCTATGCCAAATTGCATGAATGTGTCTGTGATTACAAATTTTCCATCCCGAATAAATCTCTCGGGCCTGAACTGTTCGGGCTCCATATAAATGTCGGGGTCCATATTCATGCGGTGGATCAACGGTACAATGTGAGTACCTGCGGGGATCGTGTAATTGCCAATTTTCCATTCCCTGAAAAGAGGAAAACATTTTAGTCCACGGCCTCAAGTATTTCAGTTTTGTTGTCAATTATAACAATAGGTATGTATAACTCTTCAGCTTAATTTCCGAAATTATATTAAGGACTTACGGAATATTTTCATCTTTATAATTCGGTTCAAGTTAATATTTCAAAATGTTATTAAGGTCTAAAATTAATATTGTATGAGTGTCTTATACTTTAAAAAAAAATACTTACGCAGTATTGACGTGCGTCGTTCCTAACGGCACGATTGACACCATCCTCATTGTTTCGATAAGCACCGCTTCGATATATGGCAGTTGCAAGCGGTGAGCCATAGTCACGCGCTCACCAGGTGCTACGACTTCTCTCAAGTCAGCTCGCACCTTTTCTGCAACTTCAGGGTGCTTCATCATCATGATGCAGGTCCATAATAATGATGTCAGGGACGTCTCCATTCCCGCAGAAAATAGATCATTCATGATCTGTACGATTTGTTGAACTGAAAAATAGGTAGAACATAGTAGTATTTTTGCTCACTTATATAACACCATTTTAAAATAAGTTTTTCCAGTATAATTTTCAACATCAATGAGAATTGCTTTATATTAAAGGTTGACTAATTCAATTATTTTGTGATAATTACCGGGTTCAACATCAGGGAATATGTTATGCTTTTCGTTCTTGGTCATTAACTGTTTTTCAGCTTCGAGGTGATCAAGATAAAAGTCCAGCAAGTCGGCTGGCTGGCGTGGCTCCGAGGACTGTTCACTTTGTTGGATCCGCGCGACAATGTGCTCCTTGTGAAAATTACTCACATCGGCCAAATTCTTTTTGATTTCGTTTATGACAGCCATTTTTCCTGGCAGTTTCTGAAATAGAATTTACTGAATTGTTATAATATTCAAATGAGCATATACTTTTTTACATCACCTAATTACTTTAAATACTTTACAACTTGTACAAAGAGTTCCGGTCCCAGACTGTTATTAATTTTCTTTTTTTCTTCTATTTGACTGATGTTTGCAATCAAGTCACAAAAAGGTATAAAAAGGATTTCTAAACCATAGTTGACCGTCATAGTGTGACAATCATAAATATATTAAAACAATAAAAGAAAGTATGCTGAATGAGCGAAATTAGCAGAGTTACCGCCAATATTGAGAATTAAGAATGTGTCATTTTACTCACCAAGTAGGCCTTAACGTGTTCGCCGATGAGTACTAGGCCGAACAGTCTCATACCACGGGAGACCTTTTCATTAAATAACCTGAACTCCGCATCATCAGCCGTGAAACGGAAGCTCATCATGAGCTGGCATATGACGTTATGAATATGTCTTCCAAGTACATGGGCTGGGTTTACCGATTTTCCCTCCGATTTGTTTAGTTCCATCATCAACTCATCGATTTCAACCTGGAAATTTTCAGAATTAGTACGCTATCGTGATATTTTCGACTGATATCTTTCAACAAGTTAAATATTTGTTATTCTTACATTTATGTCTCTTTCGAAACGTGTGTTGGGCCAGAGCTTGACACCGAGAGCGCGGAATTTCTCGTGGAGGAACACGCGCTGTCTTTTCCATAGAGAACCTTCACTTGTGATAACACCTGAAATAAATATAGTGTTGTAGGTAAGTATGTCCATAACTATAGTTTCCTGTTAATATTTTCGATTAAAGTGTAGGTACTCCTTACCAAGTCCGCCCAAGAGGTTGTTCAAAGGAGTGTGAGGTCGGCCGGTGGAGTCGTTCCTACTAAAGAACTCCTTCATTAGTTTCGTAGAACCAAGGCATACGGTTAGGTTGCTGCCCATCTGCACGGAGAATACATCTCCATACTTCTTAGCCATATTTAAGTACACCAGATGAGGAGGTCTGCGGTTCAGGAAAGGCAGTATTCCCAGCAGTGGTAATCCCCATGGCCCTAAAAATTTAGACATTTTTGAGTGGATGTGCTGTAGTTAGAACTGAACATGAAATATCCTAAAAAATGAAATGATTTGAAGTCTGTGATCAATCAAATTATGCGTAGTGGGTGATATGGTGATTTTAAACACTTACCAGGTGGAAGGCTTTTGTAGTATTTAACATTTTTAAATATTATCCAAAATACTAATGTAGAATACATAAAAATGCGCAAGATTGCGCTGGACAAAAAGTTTATGGCAAGAAAAACAAGAAAATAATAGAAATACATTTTGGAAAAAAATTAAAACTAATATTGAAACAAGAATTAAGCAAAACCTTAAAGGAGTATTTTACTAAAATTAGAAGTGGTATTTATATTTAAATTAAATATTTTTTGGTAAGTGGAGGAGGACGCGGCGAAACTTGACCGAGTGTGCAGAATACGGTCGGGCTTTGAATAATGATCCAAGGTGCTCGGCGCCGTTTTATATATGTAAGTACCGGCCGCTGCCATTTTTATCTATCGCGGGTATGAATTGATTTGCTGATAAATAATTCAACTATACATCAATGAGTACAAGAAATATTCGGAGTTCGTTGACCTTCCTTGCTGCAAGGGAAATAAGGAATTACGTAGGATATGAGTTGTGTTTTTTCTAATTGTTCAGTAAGTACTAGTGTAAAAGTTCATGTCTGTATTTTTTTAAATATACTTGCTATTGTTCATTGAAAATTGCATTTCTTTTACATTAAATATAATTGTATGATACATTTTATGTTTCATGTTTAACGCTTTTTTGTGTATTTATTTATTTCAGAAAAAAGATTATGAAAAATTCCGGAAGCTCAGGAAAAAAACAAATTTCTTAAGATCGAAAGATTTAGTTTTAACGTTATTATGTAAAAATTAAGTTAGTTGCATATTATAAAATCAATGCAATTTTTTATAATATTTTTTAAATTTATGGGATGCCAAATAATTAATTTTTCATATATTTTTTTAAGTTAGGTACATAAATAATTACGTCTAATATTTCTACGTACCTATACCTAGGTACTAAATATTTTTTCTTATCTATTTTATTTAGTTAATAAATATATATTGAACAAATTGCGCATTAAGGGCACGGACCAGTTTGATCAGTAGGTAAATAGGTACATTAAAAAAATCCAATATATATATTTTATTTAATCCACAGACTGTGTTTGTAAGAAGAAAATTGAATATTTAAATATCCTAATTGATATGAAGGTATTGTAATATACGACTTTTTATTAACTGTTTGCTATATATTATGTATGTTCGTAAAAATTCACTGTAAAAAATATAACAATATGTCCTATTTGTCACTGGCTCTTCACGTCACATATTCATTAAAAACATAGGTACTTACCGGATCTCCGCAAAAATGTCAATAAGTCTGTTTAGTTTTATAAAAGTATAATAATGAAAATAAATTACAAAAACACTTTTACACCTTGACTTGAAAAGACAAAAATTATAAATCCTGAACTTTTACAGCTTATAAGGAGGAAATAAGTTACCTGAAGTTGTAACTTATTTTGTTGTTCACTTGCTAAGTTGTAACTCATTTAGAGGTACAGTAACTTCAAAAACTCATTACAGTCCACTACTGCTGACTACCCTACGCTTGGCACGCGGGCTGCAGGTCAAATCCAGGTTTATCAGAAGGCACTGCCACTGAATCTCTGTCCAATATGTTCCTTAGTCATCTCGTTGACATTCGCTGGCAGAGTAGGGGTTAGGGGTGGGGGAACATATATGCCGTGAACATACAATGTTCACAACAGATACTGAAAAATTAAGTGTAACCTCATTTCTTCGCCAGTTCATGTGTTGTTTTTTTAACCCTTAAATTTTCGTGTAAGTCTTAGAATTTACTTCTCTTTGTAGGTCAGTGCTGAAAAATAGGTCAAAATATAATGGACTTGTGATGTGTGTGTGTGATGTTTAATTCTAGGGCAAGGTTAGTCATTTTAGTATCATCTGTGGATTTTTTTGTCATTTCCAAAATACATGTTTTATTATTTACTTATCCTTTCTATATTTTTGGGAGAGTGATGTCAAAGTTTAAATGTGTATTTGTATATATTTTCGTAGGTCTAAAGTAGGGATCAGTAAAACAATTTGTTATTAAGTTTTTTAATTAACTCGTCGAGTACCGGTTTTGCAGACACAATTATAGAACAATAGGTTGCGGTCACCGGTGACCGCTTGGTATTTGACAGTTTAAATAATATTTTGGTACTCTTAACTACAGATTATACTATCGATGCATTCAAATGAGGTATGCTGCTGTCATGTTTGTAAATACATATTAAAATTATGATAAATACGTGGGTGCATTGATCTTTTTCAAGTATAAACTCGTATAAGTGGCTATTCAATGATAAGTTACGCAAGACGCCCTTGTTACGTAACATTGTCTATTTATTCTAATAGTGTACAGTTTCCGCATTATTAACATCATCAACCTAATTAATTCCCATCAGAACTCCTGCAGCATTGTTGTGATGACGTCACGCGCCTGATTACTCGTGATCTTGAACTCCCCCAGCGCGTGAACTATGATATTTACAGGTATTCTTAGAACACGCAGTGTACCTACATCTGATGCACATTATATAAATATCTAAGTGTACAAGTGCACTGTGTCAACCTTGAACTAGGTTATGACCCCATTAAAAAGTCCAAGTTCCCGTATTGAGGTCAAAGACTTGTATTACGTCGAACTGTATTCAAATGTGCAAACAAATATTCCCACAACGTTACCTAAAAAACTGTGGCGCAGATAAGTCGTTTACGTTCTAAAAATATGAGCCAGTATTATATATGTCAACAACCTCTATTGTAGGGGAATAAACTGTGAAGGTCGCCACATTATAACGTGTGAAGGACTTACATAAGCAGCTATTGAGATTGGATAATAGTTCAACAACCTTTATCGGCACAGTTGTATTCCGGGTTGAACGTTCTGACAAGGACGTTCAATCGCACGTTATGCTCAGCAAATTAAACACGTGGTCGTGCTATCAATTTATTTTATACCTTGTACCTGATAAAATTAAAGTCGGTTTTGCTTTATCAACTTAGATTGTCTTAATGATGATGATTAATAGAAATTCTACTACAGTAGTAATTAAGGTATCGGGCGATGAACTTTATAGTGATTTGTTTGGAAGTATGTTAGCTCTCTGGGTCGCTTGAAGACCTTGAAAATTTTTTGTACGTTTTGTGCGATGTTTTGGCATGCGTAATCGAGGCAGGTCTTTACACTAAGATTGGCGGTCAACGTACCTGTGGATCGAATTGAATCTCAGATCGAAAAAGATTATAGCTTCACTATCGATTAATTTGAATACAAAGTTCTTTATATCTATTTAGCCCATGGCTGAAACAAATCCTGATTTATTTAATCTGAAGGTTGGATATATTACACTCTTTAGGTATTTTTGTTTAATGTATTTGTATCCGATAGCCGAAACTACTAAACTATTATTGGATATTTTTATGACATTTTCCAAATTTTCAGAAGCAACATGAAGCCTGTAATCTCCTTGGTTAGTATTTTTGAGAATAACAGAAGAGTTATGTAAACTGTAATGGTAGTTTTGAAATCATTGTAACTGATAGTATCGTGTCATGACCATATTGACCAGCGATATCAATATTTTTTACTTGTTATTTGTTCTTTATCACATAATTGGTGTTTTTGGTAAATCTCCTTCAATTATTATCTATTTAAATTACGTCAGAGTTACATGACTTCAAGGGGCGATGGCCCACGTGGAACACGTGGGCCCCTAAGCACACATTGACATTTGCCTTTTTTTCCTAAAAAAACAATTACGTATTTTGCATTATTATTTCGACTTGAAAGAATCCAGTGACGTTTATTGCTAAATAAAGAAATGAAAAGGGACTTTCCCATAACCTCCACTTCGAATGACAACTCACCACTTGTCTCCAAGGACTCGGTCTAACCACGCTACGCATTTAATAACGCTCCTTTCATATAAATATAAACATCTTCTTTCAACTTTAAATACAGAGATTTGATTTGACTAAATTACGAATTAAATTATATTACGTAGCACGAACGAGAACTACCGGGAGTTAACAAATAACCTCAAACTATAAGAGTAACAGATACAACAATTATACTACAGATTAAAAATGACTACGTTAATCGGAAGGTAAAACTAAGTCAATGCTCCTTAAAAAAACAAGATGTTTTCAGCTTGCTCGACATTGCACGACCGTCACTTGTAGGTACTGTGGCCACATCTTGAGGCTAAAGACAGCAGCTAGGTAATTCATCAGGTGAATCCTAAGTTTATTAAGTATAAAAACATGTATTTTCTGTCAACGTGGCACAGTTGCCAGCCTTCTAAGTAGGTACTTTACTCGTTGATATTAATGCAGACGAATTTTTTAATACACTGTTTGATTGACATAATTATTCTAATTTTTTTGTTATTATGTACCAAAAAAAACTAACTAACTGAATTAATAATTATGTAATTATTATTATTTGTTATAGTTTTTAATGTAAATACTGATCAACAAAAGATTTAACTGCATTTTTATAATCCCATTAAGTACTGTCACATTTTATATGTCATTGAAAAATTGTAAACCGAAGAACTGGGTTCATATTATATTAGAAATACGATAATGTGTAATAATATCTTGATACCCGAATCAGGTGATTAAAGTAAAAGTATAATAAAGTAAGGAAAATTTTATCTAACAAGTAATTTGTGTTGATGCACCATAATTGTGTCATTCGCAAACATAAAATTTACTCGATAACAATCGATTCCATGTCAAATCGATAAATAAAAATCTAATTCGTTACTCATCGAGGACTCGGACGTCCACATTTTATCTAGTTTGGCGATCGCAGGATCTAATATCAAAGAAGACCAAATTGAACTCAATTGAATGATTACTTTGATCAAAATTGACGAGATAAAACCAGCTGAACGTAAATTAAAGCAATAAATTGATTTCCGAATTCGCTACTTGACCAATACCGGCTGTGTGCAATTAGCTGACTGCAGAAGAACATAACCTCTTGTTTATCTGATTGCACATGAATAAAGTTTCTTAATAGGTAATGTTTCACGGACTTTATTTTTTGAGTGGATATTCAAAAGTTCTGACTGATATGATTTTATAAAATCACATCGTTCATAAATATTTTTTAGAAGTAATAAATGACACAATTAATAATAATTGTAATTAGACTAATATATCAAACGTAATTAGTACCTGCCATTAATTATGAAAAATCAAATTACTTAATATTTCTATTCGAAACTAATAGGTAAGGGCTTTAAATTAAATATGTTTTTGTAACTTTTCAGACGTACCTATGTAACTAGGTGCCTAGGCGCATGGGATTT